AGCCTGCTTCAGATCTGTGTCTCCCTCTCTCTCTGACCCTCTGCTGCTCATGCTGTCTCTATCTCTCTCTCAAAAATAAGTAAAATATTTTTAAAAAAAAGCCTCTCATGGTTTGCCTCCCTCTCTCTCCCAAACTCTTCTTCCCTGTCTCCTCCCCCATGGTCCTCCATTAAGTTCCTACTAATCCACCTATACGTGCAAACATATGGTATCTGTTCTTCCCTGCCTGAATTATTTCGCTTAGCATAACACCCTCAAGTTCCATCCATGTTGCTACACATCGCCAGATTTCATTGTTTCTCATTGCCGTGTAGTATTCCATCGTATAGATATACCACATCTTCTTGATCCATTCGTCTGTTGATGGACACGTAGGCTCTTTCCATGTTTTGGCTATTGTTGAGAGCGCTGCTATGAACATTGGGGTACCCCTATGCATCAGTACTCCTGTATCCCTTGGGTAAATTCCTAGCAGTGCTATTGCTGGGTCATAGGGGAGTTCTATTGTTAATTTTTTGAGGAACCTCCACACTGTTTTCCAGAGGGGCCGCACCAGTTTACATTCTCACCAACAGTGTAGTAGGGTGCCTGTTTCTCCACATCCTCATCAGCATCTAGAGTTCTCTGATTTGCTTATTTTAGCCACTCTGACCGGCGTGAGGTCGTATCTCAGTGTGGTTTTAATTTGTATTTCCCTGGTGAGGAGGGATGCTGAGCATCGTTTCATGTGTCTGCTGGCCATCTGGATGTCCTCTTTGAATTTTTAAATTTTTTTCTTAATGTTTTATTTATTTCAAGGAGAGAGAGAGAGACACAGCGTGAGCAGGGGAGGGTCAGAGAGAGAGGGAGTCACAGACTCTGAAACAGGCTCCAGGCTCTGAGCTGGCAGTCAGCACAGAGCCCGACGCGGGGCTCGAACCCACGAACCGCGAGATCATGACCTAAATGAAAGTCGGACGCTTAACTGACTAAGCCACCCAGGCGCCCCCTGGATGTCCTCTTTGGAGAAGTGTCTGTTCATATCTTCTGACCATTTCTTCACTGGGTTGTTTGTTTTTCGGGTGAGGAGTTTGGTGAGTTTCTTATAGATTTTGGATACTAGCCCTTTATATGATATGTCATTTGCAACTCTCTTTTCCCATTCTGTTGGTTGCCTATTAGTTTTATGGATTGTTTCCTTTGCCGTGTCTCACATATCTTTTGATATTTGATTTCTTCTTTGACCCATTAGTTGTTCAGTAGCATGTTGTTCAATCTCCACAGATTAATTCTTCAGTAGCATGTTAGTCAATCTCCACAGTTTTCTTCATGTAATTAATTTTATACCAGTGTGGTTGGAAGATGCATGATTCAATCATTTTAAATTTGTTAAGACTTGTTTTGTGGCATAATGTATGATCTTGGAAAATGTTCCATGTGCTCTTCAGAAGAATGTGTATTCTGTTGCCTTAGGATGGACTGTTCTGTAAATATCTGTTAAGTCTGTCTGGTCTAACATAACACATCAGGCCAGTGTTTATTTTGTCTGGATGATCTATCCATCAGTGTAAGTCCTTACAGTTCTTGCACTGGTCTCTATCTCTCCCTTTAATCCTGTTAATATTTGCTTTATATGTTTAGATGCTCCTATGCTGGATGCCTAAATATTTAGTGTTTTATCTTCTTGTTGGACTGACCTTTTTATCATTATGTAATGCCCCTCTTTATCTTTTAGTCTTTGTTGTAAAGTCTATCTTACCTGATACCAGTATAGCTACTCTAGCTTTCTTTTGGTTCCATTTGCATGGAATATGTTTTCCGTTCCCTTATCTTTCAGTTTAGTGTGTCCTTACATCTATAGTATCTTGTAGTCCGTATACAGATAGGTATTGTCTTTTTATCTGCTCAGCCACTCTATGTCTTTTGACTGGAGAAGTTAGTCCATTTACATTTAAGGTAATTATTGATATGTGCTTATTGCCATTTTATTGTTTACTGGCTGTTTTTGTGGTTCCTCTCTGTTGCTTTCTTCTTTTCTTGCAGTCATAAAAATTAGGACACCAGACTGAGTATAAGCTCCTTTTTGGGTGACATTAAATATTATAGTCCCATGAGGCCAGGAATGTAAACTCCCAGGCCTTCAGAGCCAGGTGATCCAAAGGCATCCCCTGAGGGGCAGCCACAAAAATCAGGACACCAGATGCATATAAAAGCTCCCTTATGAGAGATACTAGTCCTCTGGAGCATGGTAAAGGGAGAATGCAAAGATGGTGCCTGTTTCCTTCTCTGGAATGTTCCAGCAGTCTCCTAGAATATATTGAGTTAGATGATCACCCCTCTGGTCAATGTTTTAATATAAGCAAGTGAGCCTCCTTCACTTTCAATCTGGGTGTTATCAGCTGCCTCCGGGCCCCCAGGTGGGTGAATCTGAGTGTATGAGTCCTAGAAGAGCAGTTTCTCAGATCACTTCAGTCTTGTGGGTCTTGGCAGGCAGGCCCTGTCAGTTTTCAGGAGTATGTTTTGGGGAGTTGTCTCTCAAGTGTATGTCTTAAAAGTTGGTATACCTGATGTGGGTTTGAGCCCAGTACTCCTCAGGGAGAAGCTCCAGGTTTTGAGTTCCTTCCCAGTTGTAGGTCACTGTGCCAGGGCTGGGCTTTATGAGGAGTGTCTGTCCTGGACTCTTCTACATGCTTCAACATGGTTTTCTCTTTCTTGTTTGCCCATGTGTAGTTGTCACTCAGCCGTCCTTTGTTTTTTAAGAGGAAACTGTTCCACTGTAGCTGGACTCAATGTGTGTCTGGGAGTAGGTGAGTTCAAGGTCTCCTATGGAACCATCTTGAACTAGAACCTCCCAGCATGTCTTTGTATAGGTGATCCTCACAACCCCGAGGGTAAGCTGTACCTTTTTTCCTTCTAAAGGAGGAGAAAAATAGTATTTCATAGGGTTATATACTTCTTTACCAAAATTAAAAACATGTCTAGGAGGGCTATTCATCAAAATCTCTTTTCATAGTAAGTATTCATTCTACCCAAGTGGAAAAAATCTGTTTTAACCAGCTCCTTAACTTATGCAAAGGGAGAAAAAAGAAAATGGAAGACTTCTGTATTGCAGCAGTTGGAGGAATTAAGTATAAGTAGAATGGCTGACCAATCGACACTAAAATTCATAAAACAATTTTAAAAAGTACAAAAAGTGGCATTTTATTCTACCTTAAATATTGGTCATATCTTAACTAAGGAACTTATTTTACTGGATCTGATTTTATCTAGAAATAATTTTTTGACCACCCTCTCGAATAGGCTGGTGTTGAAGCCACTTTATAGACATACCTTTGCTTTATAGAAAAGCAAGGTGTCCAGAAGACTATCAACAAAGTAATATTTTAAGTTGAAATTACACAATACTGCCAGATAGATAATATTTTGATCATGTCAGTAGCTCTCTGGTACTTACTGAATATAATTTAAACTCCTTGCTCTGGCACTGAAGACCCTACAATGTACCTACTTTAAACTTGCCCTAGTTACTAAACCTGACAAACTCTTTTAGTCTTTCTAGCTCCATCAAACATCACCCTATCCACATGGTAATAACAGCTCATAGCCAGAAGTAACCTTCTCCCGAGATTCCACACCCTTCAGCTCACCATTCACAAGGCATTTCTCATGGCATTGACTAATGTACATGTTTTATCAACTTTAGTATACTGAAACCCTAAGCCTAGGTATGTATGTATGTATGTGCGCATATGCTTTATTCTTTTCATTATTGGACACAGTAGGCAATTAAAAGTATTTTTCTACAATATTTCCTCCTCCACAGAGAAGTGTTTTAGGCTGGGAAGAAAGAATGAAAGGAAGCACAGTGGTCCCTGTCAATCCCTGTGACCTATACGTGGTCTGGTTTATCAAAAGCTTTTACATACATTCCTCTCCATGACATAAACAAATACCAGAAGAAAATGAACAGTATTTAAGATCAAAAAGATCAAAGCTATTAGCAAATAGTTATAAAAATAGAGAAGAGGAAATGGCTAGCTTTGCCAGAAGTAACAAAAGGTTAATTTAAGGAAATTTTAAAACACTAGGAGAGATGAAGTGGATAGATTCCATAGAATTTTGGAAAGCTACAGAGGTTTTAAATTAGACTGCAATGAGGGGACATGAAGGCAATGAAAAACTTCAGAGCAGTGATACAGGGAGGGCCGCATGGTCTGCAAAGTCTCCAGCCTGTGGTGCTTCGGAGCAGGAGCCCATAGAACACCATGCTGGTGACTCAACAAAACATGGTCTGAGATCCGTGAAAAACGGACATCATTCTTGGCACAGTTTGGTAAAGCTAGATGCTAGTGGTATCAGGAATGTTAGTCTTTGAAGAACTCTGCAGGTGATTTGGGTGAAAACAGATATTACAAAATTCTTATTGTGGCTTCACATGTTGGTACTTTAGATATTGTGGAGTAGGATTCCTAATGTGATTCTGAACAGATAGGTTTTCTCCTACCGCCTCTACTTGGGTTCCCATGTTCATTGGCTGCCTCTGACCCTATCTTCCTAACCCCACCAACAGAGCAGTTCTGAAAACATGAGTGAAACTTGTTATAAATATCTGATATGAATTCTCTGACCTGGAGGAAGCTTAGCTGGTGTAAGTTGTGGTGTAACTTGGCTCTAAGTTGGGAGAGAGTGATACAGATGGTGTCTTCATGCTTTGTTAGGCCCAAGATAAAAGATGAGAAACAAGCCGCTCAACATCACAGGATTTCTATCAAAATTCATAATCATTTTGGTCTGCCTTGGTCAATTCGTTTTTTATTTACCTGAACATGAAAGGTTTCCCCCCTAAAAGGAGCAAAAATTTTTTTAATTTATTTTTTAATGTTTTATTTATTTTTGAGAGAGAGAGAGAGAAAGACAGCGTGAGCAGGGGAGGGTCAGAGAGAGAGAGGGAGACCCAGAATCTGAAGCAAGCTCCACGCTCTAGGCTAGCTGTCACCACAGAGCCCGACATAGGGCTCGAACCCATGAACTGTGAGATCATGACCTGAGCTGAACTCAGACGCTTAACCAACTGAGCCACCCAGGCACCCCTAAAAGGAGCAAAATTAATGTGAACAAATATAATTACTATGGACTGAAGAATGGAGTTACATTGATGGAGCAGTCTCACAAATCTCAATTAGAAGCTGCTTAAGGCATTCTTCCAACTACTGTGCTGGTGAAGAAATATGGATTCCCCCACCCCAAATCTGACAACCCTATGTACTTGGTAATAAATAGATCAGATTGACCCAGAATCTTGAACCTCAGAGAATTAGTAAAATTAACAAACACAAATAGCCTTAGAAAGTCCTCAGAAATCTAGACCATATCAGATTTTCAGTGCTATGGAGGTCACCCCACTGGTGTACTAAACAAACATTTATAGCACCAATGCACAAGGTACAGTGGGGAGTATAAAATGTCACAGATCTGACCAACTGGTGAAAGATTCATTATAGGCAAAATGGTCAGAGCAGCAGCTCCCACCTAAGAGCCATCTGCCCAGGAGATGCCATCAAGTGCTGGCCGGAGGTGGTTAGCCAGTCTGGAAGTCTGTTAGTTAAGAACAAACATTTTCAGGTCCTGCCTCTTCCAGACAACTCTCCCAGAGCCTCTTATGAACAAGCTGTTTCCCAGCCACCTTCTAGAATGTAGAAGAGAATGCATCCCTCCAGACTCCGTCTTCTAACACAAGATGGTGCGTAGTAGTCAGTAAAGCCCCAGCCCAGTTTCATGAGGAATGAACAACTCGGGCATGTATGACACGTGTCACTGGGATAGAACTTTCTTTCCCACATGGCTCCTCCGGTGTTGAACAAGGTAGGAAGTTCGGGTGAAGCCTTTCCCACATGTGTCACACTGATAGGGTTTCTCACCAGTGTGGATTTTCTGATGTTCGATAAGGCTTCTATTCCGAGTGAAACTCCTCTCACACTCATTACATTTATAAGACACGGGAGCCTCAATGTTTTCCCACTGGCCTTCCACCCTCCCCTGACCCTCCCAGGTCTCTGCACGTTCAGGGTCCTGCACATTTTTATCACCGTGGATCCTCTGGTGTCTCAGGAGATGTGAATTCCGCCTAAAAGCCTTGCCACACATGTTGCACTGGTACGGCTTCTCCCCCGTGTGGATTTTGTGATGTTCAAGGAGGCTACAGCTCTGGCTGAAGGTTTTCCCACACTCCTCACACTCGTAGGGCTTCTCCCCAGTGTGGGTCCTCTGGTGTTTGATGAGGTTTGAGCTGTGACTGAACACCTTGCCACATTCCTCACACTCATAGGGTTTCTCCCCAGTGTGGACTCTCTGATGGATGACGAGGGCAGAGCTCCCAATGAAGGTCTTGCCACAGTCTTCACATTCATAGGGTTTCTCCCCCGTGTGGATTCTCCTGTGTTTAGTCAGGCCTGAACTCTGAGCAAAACTCTTTCCACATTCATGACAGTAGTGCCGCCTACTTCCTGGGGCAGTTTCCTGCTTTCCTGGGAACCTGCCCTCCTGTTCACCAGCTTCTGAGCCTCTGGGAATCTGGGCCATGTCTTCACGCCAGGGACATGGTATTTGCCCAGACTCTTGTACTGGCTGGTCCTCATCTGCAGGCCGGGACTGGATCTCAGCTTCTACCTCACCACCTGAAATAACAAGTGGCCAGATGTGGTCAATGACGCCCTGACATGCAGGAAAGCTGTGACTGCAGTTGCACACAGGCCAGGAAGAGGGTTTCGGTACAAGAACCGGAATAGGGATGAAGTGGGAGAATGGGTGGTGGGGAGGAAGGAAACCTGAGAACGGGCCTGGGGTCATCAGAAGCAGGTGCAGATGGGGCGTGGAGGGAAGAGGGTGGGGAGGACTGTGCTGGGGACACATGCAGAGGCTCTAAGTCCTGAGAACGAAGGCAGGGCCCTGCACTGGGGCTGGACCGAAGGAGGGCTGGGCAGACGGCAGCAGTAAGCAGACACGTGTGAGGACCTGGAAGTGTTCTGTGTGAACCAGGGGGAGTAGGTGCTTAGCGACTGCCAGTCAGGGACAGTCTTCTCGGCTCTCATCCCAGACGAAGGCAGGTGACTGGCTTCAGTGCTGACAGATCTGAGCCGGAGCTCCTGCTGCAACACAGTTGAGCTGCATGAACTCAGACAAATCAGGCTGTCCTGTGTGTGCCCTGTGCCCCGCTCTCTAGTCTCGCTCTCACTCTACGGTCCCATGGCCTGTTTCCTGGGGGGACCCCTGCTCTCTTCTGTGTCTAGACTAGCAACAGGGAGGGACCAACACTGCCTGAGCGCCTGGCGTGAGCCAGGGCTCTGCCCGGGGCTGCATCTGACGCATCCCACTTCACCCGGCCGGGACACCGCAAGACGGGGAAGGGAGCCAGGCCTGGAGGGTTAAGGAGCTGGTCACACACGTGGTTAGTAGCTGGGTTCAGAAACAGTGGCTCTGAACGTAGACATAATTCAGACAGCTTCTCACAGCCCAGTAGGTTTTAATCGACAAAGGAAGCCACAAAAGCCTACGAGAAACCAGCACCCGTCAGGCTTACCCAGGGAGGTCAGGCCACCGGGGTTCTCCTGCCCTTCATCTCTGTGGAAGCTCCTCCGAGATGCATCCAGCTGCGTCCAGCCAGCAGAGAAAGCCAGGGCCACATCTTCCGTTTTCAGCAAGCCCTGAAACAGCACATGGTCCACCTACTTCCTCTCACCCAGAGTCACGCCCAGGGCTGGGCACCGTGTAGAGGGGCTCAGGCGGTGAGGGAACAGCCCCTGAAAGCTCTGCTGACCGAGCCGGGGCGGCGCTTCACGCCACTTCTCCCAATCTTGTGATGGTTTCGTCAACAAAACCACCCAGAAGTAGAGAGGCCGTGAGCACGTGAGGACAGGTGTCTCCACACAGACACTCCGGACACCCGAGTCTCCGCGCCTAGACACTCCAGAAGCACGAGTCTCCACACAAATATCCAGACACCAGTGTCTCCACACAAATAATCTAGACACCAGTGTAGAAGGTAAAAATATTTGGAAAACAAAGACCAAGCCACTGAAAGGCCTGGAATTGAACAACAGTAGTGATGGTGGCTCATATGTAGTGAAATGTGGTCTGAAGTGAGGAAACTCTGGGAAAACAAACAAACAAACAAACAAAAAACCAGATACTACAGAGCCTCCAGGACGTGAAGGACCAGGTAAGAAGTTGAAATCCAGTTTAAGTACAGACTGTTCCAATTATGTCATCAGTTGAGACAATGGGCATGCCGTATCTGTCCCGGCCAGCTTATGTTCCTCCAGAGCCAGGGACCACATGTTTACACCCTGGTAACAGGGCAGGAAAGCAAAACCAAACCTTCAGAACAAAAGCACTGTCACAACAAAAGCTTCAGTTTGCTTTTGCAGAATTGCTCTTACTGATGAAGAAGATGCCACTGAAAAAGGGGCTGACCAAGGACACGGGGTAAGGGGTCTGGGAAACGGCACCCACACTAGTCATGAAATAGGACAAGGCTCTCAACGAGGCACCATGAAGTGAGACAGCGCAGACAACACTGCATACATGAGAAAGTTCACATCCCATCCAGGATTTGGGTGAAGCATGTAGACGGGGAGGGGGCGACCCTCCCGGGACGCACCACAGTAGCGAAGGGCAGGGAGGGGCTCCGGCTCACCTGGGGCTCTGGGGGCAGCCTGGCCGCCACCACTGCGTCTCCTCTGCAGCGCCCTCCCGGGGCAAGCCCAGGACCCTGGAGAACTAGGAAGGAAAGAAGCTCTGGATGAGAGGTCCCCTGGCCCTCAGCCTGCCTGGCCTGTGGAACCCAAGCTCAAAATCTGGGCCTGGAAGTTCATACAGAGCGTGCTCTTCCCAAATGCCCGATCCCTACTGGCCTCAGTCCCAGGGCCTAGAGACCTGTGCTGTGCTCGGCCCACATACAGAATCTAGGCAGAGAGGGCAGGATCCTTGGAAGGAATGGTGCCTTTGAACAACAGAAAACAGGCTTTTCATCTGAAGATGAAAACTCTGGGTTTTGCTTGGGAAGGGGAGAGAGAAGATTTTGGTTAAAATGCCTTACTGGGCATTAAGGGCTTCCGGCTTTGGTTTGGAAAAACGAGTCCAAAGAGGCTGGAACCAGAAAGGAGGAAATGGGCATCTGCTTGTACAGAACTTGCTCAGAGTCCCGAAGACTTGAGGTTTCCCTATAGGAGGCAAACTTTAAACGGAACACAAAACAGCTGGTTTAGGCTAGACCCAGTGTTGGGAAGTCAAGACTCCTTGTTGGCTGGTGTGTCTCAGTGCTGTGTCTTGGAAACCGACACACACGTTCAGGGCACATGAGAAGACACCAGACGACATACAGCCAGTCTTGTGGAGTAAATCCTGCCATATTCATAAGAGACCAGGGTTTAGACATTTATACTCTAATCTACAATAGTCCTATAGTCTGTGGGATATTCCGATTGGCTTTACTGAGTCTGTTCATTTTCTTCTCAGCACTTACCACTAGCGGAAGCTGTACGGTTGTGTTTATCTGCTGTCTTCCCCCCTACACTGTAAACTCTGGTGCCACCAGGCCTCTGCGTCACCAGCGGCCTGTCCTCAGCACCAAACACACTGGCTACCACGTAGGAGGCATCGTTATGTGTTAAATGAACGAGGAACTGATTCTTTCCAGAACATTGAAATTTCCCTTTCAGTTTCAAAGTAGAGCCAGTCAGTGATGGCCAAATCAGTTAATCATCAATGAAGTTGGATGAAGTCTGCAGGTTCATGCGCCCAGAAGAGAACACTCACCTGTGTCTGGTAAGGCCCTTGATGCCAGCGATTCATGCTTGAGCAGAGCCCTCACTGGTTGTAACTGGGCACTCCGTGATCCACAGAAAGGTGTCAACACTGCCATCTTGCAGCAGACAAGCTCTCGGCTCTGGTTGCCACCTGGGACCTAGAGATTTTTCATTCATTTTCATTTATTCGTCAGACATTTCTGGAGCACTTCCCATATGCCTCACACAGTTTCCAGGAGCACTAGAAATATTAACTCAGGTAACACAGACAACAACCTTGAGGTTAGTACTGTTACCATCATTTCACTAATAAGGAAGCTAAGGCAGAGAGAGTTTACACAGTTTTCCCAAGGTTACCCCGCTAATAAGTGGCGATGCTAGGATGGGCACTCAGGCAGAATGACCCCAGAGCCTGTGCTCTCAACCATTACCAGGTGCTCCCTCGTTGCGCTTTTACAAATACCCTTTGGGAACTGGTGCTGAGTTCTCAGAATACTCCTATCTTATCTGAAAAGCAAAGGTAATAATTTCTTGTTTATAGGGGTTTGTTATTGGCTTTGAGGACTAAGAAATAAGGTCACAGTATGTTAATCACCTAAATCAGGACACACGGTCTGTCCCCACTAAAAGGTCTTGTCCCCACTAAAAGCAGGCTTCCCTGCATCTATCGGTAAATTACACTTGTCAAGTTACTTTCTCACATGGAGCTCAGAACTCCCCACATCTTCTGTAAAGACTGAGAGAGGCTGGAGCTAAGATACTTGAAATGTCTTCACTGTGAAGGGCTCATGGGCAGTGGGCCCACGTCCAGAGCCCGGGTCTCCTGGTCAGTGGTTAGGGGGCTCTGGCCGCGTGTCCCCTGAAGGCACATTAAGTGGTCCACAGAGGACACAACTTCATAACAGACCGACAAAACAGGAAGACGCAGGGGAGATCAACCCGTTTTCCACCAGGGGTGGTTTTCGGCCTGAGGTCCTTGGACTCCTCCCAAGTGGGCCTTCATGAACTTCAGATAGGAAACAAGTAGTTCTGTTTTTACCAGCCTCTAAGGGAAATTTGGTCTCTCCTATTATAAATGGAAGCAACAACCATATGGCGTAACCACAGGACTTCGTCACCAATAGAAATTGCAGATGTTTTCACACCACGTTACAGCGCAGCGAACACCGTCCAAGTCGCTCAAGCTTCTAACGGCTTTGAACCCGCACCCGGTCGACTCGGCCTGTGCCAACGTCCTCCTGTTTAGTGCAGCAGTTTAACAAAGCGCACATATAACGTTGTCACCTATTTGTTTAATGCTTTGTTGGCTGTATTTCAACATAATCGTGTTCTTCTGCAATCCTTTATGTACCTAAACATTCTGTTCCGAGAAGGGGCCCGGGGACTCCACCCAAGCAGCAGAGACACACCGAGAAGTTCGGATGTTGACGGAACGCCCCTCCCTCGGCCCCGAGACTTGGGGAAGAAACCGGGCTTGGCCTCTACCTGCGGCGCCGGCGCCTCCAGCTGCCTCTGCAGGTGCTCGAGGAGCAGCACCGCCTCGTCCCCGCTGTCGGGCTGCTGCTCCCGCACCCAGGCCTGGAGCCCGGCGGGCAGGATGGTCAGGAACTGCTCCAGCACCAGCAGCTCCAGGATCTGCTCCTTGCTGTGCGTCTCGGGCCGCAGCCACTGGCGGCACAGCTCGCGGAGCCGGCGCAGCGCCTCGCGGGGCCCCTCGGCCTCTGGGTAGCGGAAGCCCCGGAAGCGCCGGCGCGAGCGCTCCGGGCCGGGGGCCGGGGGGCCGGGCGCGCCAGCCTCCGCCAGGGCCGCGGGGACGTCCTCCTCCTCCACCTTTACGGTCAGGACGCCCGTCAGGTGCCCCGGCCGCTCCTCTGCACCGTCTGTGTCCAGGGTCGCGCTCTCATTCGACTCTCCGGCCATCCCGGACCTGGCGCGGGCAGGGACCGCGCCTCCCGGGGCGGCTCCTCAGGTGCGAGAGTCGCTCCCGGCCTGCACGGCTGCGGGCGGCTCGGCTTCCCGCGGCCGCGGCCGTTCTCCGCGCCCGCGCGGGGCCCCGCGGCGTCTCCCCGCGGCCGACCGGGGCCCGGGCTCCAGAATCCGATCGCGCCACTTCCTGGGCCCTCTAGGACGCGTCTCTCGGTGGCAGCCGAGTTAACCCTTCGGCTTCCGGGCTACCGCCGTCGAGTCCGCGGGAGAGGACTTGCGCGCTCTGACGTAAGCTTGGCTGAAGCTGACGTCTCACGTTCCTGAGAACTCGAGGCCCGCGGGTGCCCCCAGAGGCCCAGGCCAGAGGGCCTTCCCCTGGGGCCGCGTACGTCCCGGGGCCGGGCTGGGAGCGCAGCGCCTGCGCCTGCGCCTGCGCCTGCGCCTGCGCCCGGCCGGCTCCGCCCCCTCCTCCGAGGCCAGCCGGCCGGAAGTCCCTCCCCCCCCAGTTATTCCTCACTGCCACGCATCCTTAGCATAACTGCTTGTCTTCATGAACCGCCGGGGGAGCCATTGCGGTCCTTCCTGCAAAAGCAACCGGAGATCTCCAACCGCCCCCTTCAGCTACCATTTTCCGTGGCCTCCTCTCGAGCAGCCAGGCTTTTGCTGTTCCCTGATTCCAGCCGCTCTTGTGTCCCTGGACTGGCGGACCCTGCTCACTCCTGCTTGCTCTCTTGTTCCTTCCCAGTCATAGTCTAGCCGAGTGAAAGCCGCACACTCTCAGGCCAAATTCCCTGGGCTCCTAATCCTGTCTTTATTTACCACGTATTACCTGGGTGACCGCCGTTAACTACATAACCTCTCTGTGCCTGACCTTCCCACCCTGAGAATAGTAGTAGTAGATAGGGATGTGAGCATTGGGTGAGGTTTTTTGCGTGTAAAGTTCTTAGGATAATGGGTAACCGGTAGTAAGGTAGGCCTACCTTAAAATGGAAGGAAGCCTGAGATTCCTTTTAGCTAGAAGAGGCTAGATTTTAAGCCAGAAGTGACAGCAGTTATTTTGCTGGACTGAATTGTCAGTCCACTTTCTACTCAGTAGAATGCAGGTTTGGTAGAAATTTTTTAGGTGGGAACATATCATGCTGGTACCTTCTCTGATTTTTTATTCCTCAGTCTATCCCATCTGTTAGTCTCCCGGCCTGGGCACGACTACTCGGTGGGCACAGCAACCTCCAGCCCTTCCCAGTCTTGGGGTCTGGCAACTCCTCACCCCCGTGCCCCTGGTACTCATAGGGCAGCAGGTGCAACCGCCTCTTCGGTTGCCTTCCGTTGGGTCCCATCCAGACTGGGGTGCGCAGTTGTAAGTAAATGCCTTATGGCTTTTGCTGTCAACTCTTTAAAAAAGCCGTGGACCAGTGGACCCCTGCAGTTCAAAGCCATGTTGTTCAAGGATCAGCAGGTCTTCATTTAGTCGCTTTGCACTTGCCTTTATCAGGGTAAGAAATGTAAGTTGTAGTCATAATACAAGTGTTTGTTTCCTCTTCCCAAAATAAATTTCTGTAATCTTGAGCACAGCTACTGAGATAAGTCTTGTAAAAACACTGTAAAATGTAAATCAGAGCACTGTGTGGAAGTGCGAACGTGAGCAGCTGGAGGGTACTGTCAGGTCGTGTGAATCTCATTAGTGAATGGCTGTTTTGTTGCTTGGTGAGTAAAGGTCACTTCACATTTGTAAAGGCCATAAGTATGAAGTAATTTGGGGGGATGTTTAATTTCGGCTTGTCCTCAGAGTTCTATATAACTTGCTTGTTAGGAATTTGTTAGCAATAAGTATAGATTGTGACAAACTAATGTTATATGCTTTCTGCTGAGATACCGTAACAAGTATATTTCACCTGTGTGATCTGCCAAACAGGATTACCCTAAATCTAATCATGGGGAAATTATCAGATAAATTCGAATTGTCAGACATATTACAAAACAATCACCCTGGACTCAGCAAAATTGTATGAAGTAATATTTAAAAAGTGGATGTGTAGGTAGAGAAAGTATTCTGGATTAAACAGACCAATAACTAATCACAATCAAATAGATTTCATTAACTTTGGATTTTGATCCCATTTTAAAGACATTATTGAGGGGCGCCTAGGTGGCTCAGTTGGTTAAGCGTCCTACTTCTGATCAGGTTATGATCTCGCCTTTGTGGGTTGGAGCGGAGCCCCACATCGGGCTCGGTGCTGACAGCTCAGAGCTTGGAGCCTGCTTGAGATTTTGTGTCTGTGTCTTGCTTGTGCTCTGTCTTTCTGTGTCTCTCAAAAATAAATAAATTTTTAAATCTTTTAAATTCTTCCCATTAGAAGACCTGTTACAAAAAAATGTCTCTAATTACATATTTTAACAAAATTTTTATTCAATTTCTAATCAAATATTATAATACTTTATTTTCTTTCATTAAAAAACTTAAATGTTTACAACATCAGTTTGGGAAGACAAGGAGTCAAAATGGAGAAAAGTGATCAAAAGACAAAATCCAATGACAGAATAAATATAGCCTATTTAAAGGCCTGCCTGGCCCTGGTGGCTGCTGCCAGAGCGAAGTCTCAGCCTCAGAACTTGCAGTAGCTCAAAATCTCCTTCAGCTTCAAACCGTCCACAGGAGAGATTTTGGTGACTTCAAAGAAGACCTGCGTGATCAAGGGATGAAGATCAGAGGTCTTCTAGCCACTGTAATACTACAGGGTAGGAGCCCCGTGTATGAACTTTGCATAGATGGCTAGGAGGAAGGAGTCAGCAGCTAGCTTGGAAGCTGTCTCCCGGATATAGTCCTATTCCTGCAGAGTCATTTCACAGATGAAACAGGTCGAGGTCAGTGTCTTCATGCTGGCATGGAGATACCTTGTATATCTGCACAGGAAGTATAGGCGATGCAAATGTTGATATTTAAGTTTGTGAGTTTGCTGGTTGCTGACTTCCATAGTGAGCATCTCGCTGATAAATATAATCTAAAATTTTAATTTGGTGCTATTCAATTTCTCACTTCAATGTTTAGAGCCTTAGCATCAGGAAAAGTGCTATATCTAAATTCTGATTTCCTTTTTCTGTCACTTTCCGAGTCTGTCAAATAACTGAGCCGGTCATTTTAAATACAGACAATCATGATGGTAATGCCTACCTATCTTTTAAGTTAAGAAGAAAACGATCTTGCATGAAATGCTGGTCGTTTCAGACAATGAACAAAGCGTGTGCATAAATAACTACAAAAAATCCTGAAGAAATTAACCAAATTAGGAGACATCTACAAGACTGGTTTGGATGTTTCCCTGCATTTCAGGAGTAGAAACGTCTGTGCATTTTAAAAATTAAAAATCATAACTCTGGCCTTCATTTGGCTTAGAGGCTGAGCTTAAACTTTTTGATTCTAAAAGAAGTTCCGGTGCTTGCTTCCAGTAGGAACAAGTGGGGTTTTGAAGTCAATAAACGTATTTCCGTCAAGAAAGTGGTGGACACGTCCCTTTCTAAGGTATCAACAAAAGGAGCGTGGGAAGTAGGGGACCCGCACTAGGCTGTGACCATAAAGAGGGCCGAGGGGAGCATGGAGAAGCGAAGGGTTATCAAGATGATTAAAGGCGAAGAGCCAAGCGGAGTAGGAGACCTCTGAACAGCAGAAGGGTCACTGGCGCAAATTCCTCTATTTGTGTCCCCAAGGACTCGGGGCGGGGCAGGTAAACCCGAGCCACGAACCACGAGACGAGCTGCGCCTCTCCACCAACCGCCCTAGAGGTTTTTCGCCCTCGCGCCACGCCCGTGCCCAGCAACCCGCCGGAAGCGGAAGCCGCCGACGCGTCTGCGTGGGCGGGAAGTCCAGGCCCGCCTCAGTCTCCGTGGCAACTGCCCGGCGTCGGCCGTTAGGTAGCCGGTGGGGGCGTGGCTCATGGCCCTAGTGTCCCGGTCCCGCTGTCCAGAGGACGCCGCGGGCTCTCGGAAGCAGCGACGCAGCTCGTCGGGGAGCCCGCTGTCCGCACAGGCCAGTCGCTCCCCTTGGGGAGGCCGCTCCCGATCCCGCTCTCACTCCCGCGGCCGCGAGGGTCCCAGGTCTCCGTGGGGGGCGTCGGGCGTTGGCGCCCCATGCGGGCTGGGCCGCTCTGAGTCTCAGGAACAGCCGCCCGGGTCCCGCAACTACGCGGTCTTGTTTTCTTCCGTCTACAGTGGCGGATACCGCTACCATCACCACCACTATGCGGGCGACCGGCAGTGGGCCCGAGAGTATGAGAAGGAGGAGGAGGAGAGCTATCGGCAGAGGAGGCTGAAAGAAAGAGAAAGGATTGGGGAGCTGGGAGCTCCTGAGGTGTGGGGGCTGTCTCCAAAGTTTCCTGAGCCGGATTCTGATGAACACACCCCAGTGGAGGAGGAAGAGGTAAAGACTCAGGAGACCAGCAGTTCGGATTTCAGCTCCGAAGAAAAAGGGAATACCAGTCGTTCAAAAAGCAAGAAAAAAAGAAAGAGAAAGTCCAAAAGGAAACATAGGAAACACTTTCATAATAGTGATAGTAATTCAGACTCTGACACTAATTCTAGCACTGATGGTAAAAAGAGGGCTAAAAAAGCCAAGAAGAAGGAAAAGAAGAAGAAACACAGGGCAAAAAGAACCAAGAAAAGGAAGAATAAGAACACTAAAAAAGAATCCAGTGGCTCAAGCTTTAAAGATTCAGAAGGGGAGTTGCCAGAAGATATCTGGATTAAGCAGTCAAAGATTGCAGATATCATGGATATAATAGGTCCAGAAGCACCTGTAATACACGCCTCTCAAGATGAGAAGCCTTTGAACTATGGCCATGCTCTGCTCCCAGGTGAGGGTGCAGCAATGGCTGAGTATGTAAAAGCTGGAAAGCGAATCCCGCGAAGAGGTGAAATTGGGCTGACAAGTGAAGAGATTGCTGCATTTGAATGCTCAGGTTATGTCATGAGTGGTAGCAGGCATCGTAGAATGGAGGCTGTACGACTGCGTAAAGAGAACCAGATCTACAGTGCTGATGAGAAGAGAGCTCTTGCATCCTTTAACCAAGAAGAGAGACGAAAGAGAGAGAATAAGATTCTAGCCAGTTTCCGAGAGATGGTGTACAGAAAGACAAAAGGGAAAGATGACAAGTAAGGACTTTTTGTACAGTGGGACTTTTAACAATTTTTATGTGGCCAAAATAATATGAAAAGACTTAATGGTGCTACTAGATCTACAATGTTAGGAAGTCCTTCAAGGAAAAGCTGAGATCTCTTTTTTTATTTTTTAACTTAATATGTGCACATGGTTTAAAAAATATTCAAACACTACAGTAGGAGTTAATAAAAGCTCTTTCCCCCTAGTCCCTAATTCTTACCAAAGAATTCTTTTCGATGTCTTTTATATCTGCTCATAAGTTCTTTGTATATGCAAGTATATTGAAGGATAAAGGTTGGAGCTATTAACCTGAAGGTTATTTTCCTTGTTGCTCTGTCTTCTCTCTCTCTCGAAGGGCCTTATGGAGCCTTTCATTTGCCCCAAGGATGATCAGAAGAACCCCAGAAAGAACAAAGGATTCAATTGAATGTATACTGGTTTCTGGTATTAACACATAAAGGAGATTTATTGGCTCATGGAACTGAAAAGTCCTGCAGGAGAATGGGTGTCCTATATGGCTTTATGGGTCTTTGATTTTTTTCTTCCCTGTGGGTTATTTTCCTCCTTTGGCTAGTTTCCCTTAAGTAAAAAAAGGGCTGCCAAAGGTTCTGGATTTGATTATATACTTCCTGGTCCATCTCTGAAGAAAGAACATTTCTGTCTTGGCATTCCAAACAATCCTGAGATTCACCCTAATTGGATTAGCTTAGGTCACATGTCCACTCTCAAAAAAAATGGTACTGTTGACATGGAAATAGGCCCACTCCCGGAGTATAGGTATACTCAGTTTATAGGCTACATACATGGGGAAGAACTGGAAGGCAAGTAGGCAACCAAAAAAATGCCAACTATAGTTGTGAATGATTTCTAAAAACCAATACGTGTGCTGAAAGCCAAAATTTTCTTGAAGCTTGGTTTTGACTATTAGGGAATACCTGATTGGAGGGAACATAGGATTTATCCATAAAATAGATACAAAGAAGAAAAGAGAGTCAATGGTGCTTGGGTCTTCCAAAGAGTAGATTAGCTGCCACCTTAGACTGAGAAGAAAAGAAATGAGAAGGTAGAAAGAAGAATACAGTTGGTGGAGCTCATGAAAAGGAGATCAGATCAGGAGGGACCTCATGGGCAACAGAGTTGACATTGAGAACCTGGTCAGCACCAGTGCTGGAGAAGATTTTAGAGTGAGCTCCACTCACAATCTATCATAAAGCTTTTGTTTTTATCCAGTGACATCTGTCTGAATTTTAAAACTTCATTACTAGGCAAACTATCTCATTTGAAAAGGGGATCCTGTGGGGTACCTGGGTTGCTCAGTTAGTTGAGTGTCCACCTCTTGATTTTGGCTTAGGTCACGATTCCAGGGATCGAGCCCTGTGTCCGGCTCCATGCTGAGCGTGGAGACTGCTTGGGATTCTCTCTCCCTCTCTTTCTGCCTCTCTCCCTGGTTTGTGTGCTACCTCTTTAAAAAAAAAAAAAAAGGAAGAAGAAGAGTAAACTCCCTTTTCAAGGCTCAAGACCCTATTAAGCCCCACAGAACTGAAGGTGAAGAGGTTCTAGAATCTCACACGCAGTGTGATGTGGAAGGGCACTTTCATCCTAGTAGAAGACAATTGCCGCTGGAGCACACTACCTTGAGAATTTCCCCAAAGAGGGTTGGGCAACACTGGTAAAATCCAGTGTTACACATGTATATTTTTATTTTTAGAAACCATACCATGATACATACATGAACCTACACCTTGCATTTTTCACTTAATATATCTTGGAGATGTTTTAATCAATACATAATAAATCTACCTTATTCTTTTTAATTAATGACTTTAAAATACTATGTTGAATGAAAGGACCATATTTTATTGGATGTTTAAGATCCAATAAAATGGATCTTATATTTTGGATTACACAGTACGTTGGTGAACATCTTTGTGGGTAAGTGAGAGTATTATCTGTTTCATTCTCATCTAGAAGTAGAATTATTGGGTCAAAAAGAATCCGTTGGATCACCTAAAAATGGCCACGTAGAAGTAGAGTTCTTGGATCAAAAGGAAAATATTTACTAGGTGTTTTTCTGTTTTAAAATGTGTATAGTGTTTTTTTTTTAAGTTATTTATTGTAAGAGAGCACTCGGGAGGGGCACAGAGAATCTCATGTAGGCTCTGTGCGGTCAGTGCAGAGCCCAATGCGAGGCTTGAACTCGTGAACTGTGAGATCATGATCTGAGCTGAAACCAAGAGTCAGAAGCCTAACCGACTGAGCCACGCAGGTGCCCCTATTAGGTGCTTTTTATATGCTAGGCACGATGACAGGTGCTGGATATAAACCAGAGATCAAGTAAAGTTTGATCTTTGCCATCACAGAATTTTACATTCTACTGGGGGAGACAGACCTTTAAAAAAAACTAACACAAATACGTATTAATTGCAGCATGCTGTGAAGAAAATAAAAGGACTAGAGACAGTAATTGGGGGACATTTTTGAAAGGGTGTTCAGGGAAAATGGAAGAATGTCACGTGTAAGTTTTACGTGTTTTTACATTTTAATAGGCATTGCAACATTGCATTCCAAATAAGATGTACCAGTTTTCACACCTACATCACCAACAGTATCATACTTCTAAACCTTTTGATCTTTGCCAATATGATGGGTGAAAAATGGCATTTCATTTTTTATGTTCATTTAAGAGCAAAGTTGAGTATCTTTCCGTGTGTATGTTTGTATATATATCCTTTGTAATTTTGGGTGAGTATGTGTGCGAACTAATATAAGTTTTGTCCATTTTTCTACTGGGTTGTTGGTCTTTTCTTATTGATCATAAGAGTTGTTCAAATAATAAATTAGCTCTCTATCACATGTCTTGGAAATATTCCCCTCTTCCTTGCCTTCTGAATAGCTTTTCTGGGAAACACTTGATTATATTGCTCTTTAAGGCCTAAAGATTCCCTAACAATAGCCAATTAAATATCTTTGTCTTTTTCACTTGGGAGAAAGATGCATCTGAGGAGCTGTGGCTTCTAAGAAGGCAAGGTAGGATTGGTGGGCTTTGCCAAAATGTTACAATACACACAATGCAGCAGATAGTGCAATGCCCACAGCAGAGTTCCCATGACGGCATTCTGTGCTGTCAGTACGACTGACTTGCTGGTTAATGTTGTTATTAGGGTCTGCCAGTGTATCTGCCTTAAAACAAGACTTTGAGATCTGCAATTTGATTACAAATCATGTTGTCTCACGGGAACTAATAAAAGGCGTTAGAACCTTTTCCCCTCTTTTAAATAGTGTTGCCCAGAGTACATGGTTTGGGTTGTTGAACAGAAGAAAACCAGAACAACAAAAATTTTGTGTCATATTAGATTTCAAAACCCACTAGAATCGTTTATTAAATTCTACCCAAGGAGAAAATTGAGCAAGTCAAATAGCTTGAATTAACCACCATAGTTACACTGAAGGTTTTTTTTTTTTTTTTTAATTTTTAATTTGAGAGAGAGAGTAGGGGAGAGGAATCAGAGGGAGGGAGAGAGAGAAGCAGGCTCCAGCTCAGCATGAAGCCCGACTTGGGAATCAATCTCATGACTCTGGGATTATGACCTGAGCCAAAATCAAGAGGCAGGTGCTCAACCTACTTAGCCATCCATGCTTCCCCTCCACTGAGTTTTATTCAGTGCTGAGAAACAGCCCAAGAAAACAAATGAGAGTGGCTACTGATGTTTAATTACAATTGATAAATTTTGTGAGACACCATTAATTTTCCCATGAGCCATTATTTTATGACTTTGGGGATTATGTAAAATAGTGTTTCACAAATTATAAAAACTCCTCCACTGGTATGAGATTCTTTTTTTTTTTTTTTTAACAAATAGTTTATTGTCAAATTAGTTTCCACATAACACTCAGTGCTCATCCCCACAAGTGCCCTCCTCCATGCCCATCCCTCCTCCCCCCCACATCCATCAGTCCTCAGTTATTGTCAGCATTCAAGAGTCTCTCATGGTTTGCCTCTCCCTTTCCCCCACCATTTCCCCCCTTCTTCTCCCCCTTGTTCCTCAGTTAAGTTCCTCCTAATCCTCCTATACGTGCAAACATATGATATTTGTCCTTCTCTGCCTGTGGTATAAGAGATTCTAATGGGGATTTCATGGTAGGTTTTCTTCTTTTCTTCACCTTCTCCTCCTCCTTTAGCACAAGAGAAAATTTTCTACCTATAGCTATAAGCAGATTAGGGAGAAATTATTAATTTGGCAAATTGCTGTATTTTTATTCTTCACAAATTCAGGGAGATTTTTATGAGAATCCTTGTAAGATTTTACAGTTAGTCTTGAGGGAGTTTTTTTTTTTTTTCAGATGTATACAGTTTTGGCATACAAAGTTAGTGTCCATCTATTCCTATTTTATTAGGAGTTTCTCCTTTTAATCAGAAATGCATGTTGAATTTTATTAAATGACTTAGTAGCATTTGTGGAGATCATAGGATTTTCCTTTATTTGCATATTAATAAGATGGTTTAAAGTTATATTCCAGGTGCCTGGGTGGCTCAGTCTCTTAACGGTCCAACTTTGGTGCAGGTCATGATCTCGAGGTTCGTGGCTTCAAACCCTGTGTCAGGCTTTTAGCTGTCAGTGTGGAGCCTGCTTTGATTCCTCTGTCTCCCTCGCTCTCTGCTCCTCCCCCATTCTCTCTCTCAATCACACGCTCTCTCTCTCTCTCAAAAATAAATACATGTTGAAAAGAATTATAGATTTCCTAATGTTAAACTATGAGTTAAATTTATTGGACTCATTTGTAGGTTTTTGGTTGTTTGCAACAATCACTGGTCACATAATTTTCTATTTCAAATTCAGAATAATGATGGGGCATCTCAGTGGCCCAATCAGTTAAACATCTGCCTCTTGATTTTAGCAAGCCCTGCGTCAGGCTCCACACTGGCAGCACAGAGCCTGCTTGGGATTCTCCTTCTCTCCCTCTCTCTGCCCATCCCCTGCTCGTACTCTCCCTCTCTCAAAATAAACGCATAAACTTAAAAAAATTCAGAATAATTAATAATATCTTGCCATATGGGTGGGAGCAGAGAGAAATGCAGAAAGCATCATTACAAAAAAGATAACTGCTAATTTTCTGCTATAGCATGGTAGCATGACTTGTAATGCAATAGTGCCTCTACTGAAAATACAGAAAAGGAAGCTATTATTTTGAATATCTTAAGAATGGACCTGATGAGGGGCGCCAGGGTGGCTTAGTCGGTTAAGCGTCCGACTTTCGCTTAGGTCATGATCTCGCGGTTCGTGGGTTCGAGCCCCGCGTCGGGCTCTGTGCTGACTGCCAGCTCAGAGCCTGGAGCCTGTTTCAGTCTGTGACTCCCTCTCTCTCTGACCCTCCCCTGCTCACGCTGTCTCTCTCTCTCTCTCTCTCTCTCCTAGAAATCAATAAAAAAAAAAAACATAAAAAAAATTTAAAAAAAAAAAAAAAAGAATGGACCTGATGAAAACATACAGACCACCATTTTGTTTACAAAAATAAGGATGATCCTGGAAAATGAAAATCTCAAGTTTGAAAATTGATTTTTATTAGCAACGTGTAGACTATGCCAGTAAAAGTAGCATTTTTATTTATTTTCATCTACCCCTTCCAAAAAATACAGACAACTTAAATTAAAAATGCACATCTTGAATTTTGTAAAAATACTGCTTTGTTAAGCTGCATTACCGGTTTTGATTTTCATGGGATATCCAATACAATGCCAATAATCTGAAAGACATTTCAGAAGTGAGCAATTGTAGGGAGTAAATGAATTAAGATCTTTAGTTACTTTTTTAAAAAATTCATTCATTCATTCATTCATTCATTCATTAAGAGAACACGAGTAGGGGAGGGACAGAGAGAGAGAAGGAGAGAATCACAAGCAGGCTTCGTGCTGTCAGCACAGAGCCCGCCTGACCTGGGACTTTATCCCAAGAACCATGAGATCATGATCTGAGCTGAAATCAAGAGCTGGGCTCTCAACTGACTGAGCCACGCAGGCACCCCTATTTACTTCCTTTTTAAATTAAATTTTATATTTATCCCTTATATAATTTTTGAAAAATATATAAGCCCTTCTTTACAAAGAAAATTAGACATGAGTTTTCTGTTCAAGAAAAAATGATAAGTTCTAATTTAGTAAAATATTTGGATTCACTGGATTTGTTTGCCTAAGGAAGTTATAAAATGAGTATATACTTCATTGCTCCTTTAAAAGATACTTTCAAGTTTCTGGAACCCAAGGAGGAAAGGGTTAATTCTCCTTGTCACAATGAAACTGGTTTTTTTCTTTTGTTCTGATAACTTCAATGCTGAAGATACTACCAATAAACCACAAAACAATGATTAGTATGATATGATTTTTCAAACTATTAACTAAACAGACTTTTGTTTAAATTTTTAAAAGGACTTACCTCATTCAAAGACTCTAAATACAGTTTTTGATTAGATGAACAAGGGGGAATATTTCTACTTTCTTCTGTAGAATATTTTTGGTAAAGTGATTATCTAATGCTTTCCCCCCTGAAACCTACATTCATTGCAAAGTATTGTTGATTATACTTTTACAGTAATAGACTTAAATTTCATTACCTTAAATAGTCTAGTCTAAATATATTTCCATTGTTCAATTTAACCTTCAGATCTTTGATACTATGAAAAAAGGGGGGGAACTCAATGCACTGACATATATTTTTGCCATGGTGTTTGACGACTGTTTAAATTGGGGAGAAATGCAAAAGCACGTGTCCGTGCTTAATTTGCGAAGTAGCAAAGCGGAAACGCCGGCTCTTAGCGGTAACACTAAACTGGGATGGCCTGTTTTTAATTGAAGTCCGGCCTAAATTAGGAGAAACGCCTGCGCGCGCGCCTGAAAGCCGCGGAGGGGCGGGCGGAGCTGGACACCATCGAGCCGCAGTCCTCCGCGTGCCTAGAGCGGAAGCGACGTCGCGCTGTGGGGGGCGTGTTGGAGCTCGGGGCGGAGCGCAGAGGGTGCCCGAGCGAGCCTGGCTGCGCCTGCGCATCAGCTGTTGGGGACGTGGTGTTGATGCTCCGCCGGCGGGCAGTGGGGCCCCGGGTGCAGGGAAGCGCTAGGCGACTGAGGGGCCGCGCGGGAGGTGTCCCCTGAAGTGGGCACAGCGTAGGCTGCACAGGTGCCATCCCCTGAGCACAGTATTAAATCCGTTTTGAAGGTAAGTCTCGGAGGCCGGTACTTGAGCAGAAACTTGAAGGACACGGTGAGACCGATGTGGCCTTTGGGGGACGCGCTTTCAGGCCAAGGGAACCGCCGGCTTGACGCACCGGAGGAGTAGCCAGGCCACCATGAGCGGGGCCGAGTGTGGAGGGCGGTGTGGAGGGTTGGGGGGCGTCTGTAGCTGGGAGCTCACGATGAGACCAGACCTTAGGGGCCCTTGAATCAGAATAGTGGTCAGTGGCGGTCAGTGGCGGCCAGGTTACTGAGCTGCCTGACAGGTGGCGCCAGCGACTTTGCTGTCGGAGCAGATGTGCGTTGTGTGAGAGAGAGAAGGTGTCGATCAGTCCGAGGGTTTGGCCGCAGCCGCAGGAGCTGCTGGAGGAAGGAGCCGAGCTTGAGGTTTGGGGCCTTGTGTCAGTTATTTAACTCGCCTCGTCCCGGTACCTTAGTACAATGAAGTTCGCACTTGTGTCTTGAGGCAGTTGTGTGAGGATTAAGTGCATAACTTTTGTAACGTATATATGGCAGTTGTGCTGGTTTATTGTATCATTATGCTGAGACATGAAGGGTGTGTGGGCGCAAATGTGAAAAAGAATTGGACGGTTGAGGAGTGTTCCAGGAAGGAGTAGGACGTGGAAGGACCCAGAAACAAGAGAGCATTGAAAGTTTGAGGAACTGAAAGTTCACTAGATCATAAGAAAATTTTAATGTTTTTTTGTTTTGTTGAGAGAGACCGAGTGTGAGCTGTGGAGGGCAGAGAGAGAGGGAGACACAAAATCTGAAGAAGGTTTCATGCTCCCAGCTGTCAGCACAGAGCCAGGCGCGGGGCTCGAACCCACAGACTGGGGAATCATGACCTGAGCTGAAGCCGGACGCTTAATGGACTGAGCCACCCAGGTGCTCTAGATTTGACTCTTTGTATATTAAGTCAATTTTTTGACTAAAGGAAAAAATATATGTATGTTTCAGCTAGGAGTTACCATGCACGCATCCAGGGCTCTATAACAGCCAGCTGTATTTGGAGCCTAACCAGGTTTTATAGCTTTTTTTTTTTTTTTAAAACCCAGGAGCCATTTTTCACAGTTCATTTAGATGTCTGTTTAATCCAGAACAATACTTTTTATTTTTGTGAAATCGACTGTTTTGATGAGTCTGTGTCTGTTATAGATGAGCTGCATTTGGGATTTATCTGAAAGTCTCCTCATTATTAGATTCATGTTAAATACTTAAATGAAAATGCTGCGTAAGTGATAAGGCGGAATGTCAGTAGTCTCACTGTTGGTGTTGTCAGGGTTGACCATTTGATTAAGTTTGTGGCTTCCAGATATCTCCATTTTTCCCCCTTTGTAGTTAATACACAGCACGGTGATTGAGACTGTGAGAATGTCCTTTTCTTCAGTCCTTTAGCCCAATGCCTTTGCCCTTTTGTAGTCTTTGATTCAATTTTCATCAAGCTGCAAAATGGTGATTTTTCAAATGTGTTATTCCTGCTCTGTCAGAACAAACTCTGTGGAACAGAGTCTTCTCACTTTGTATGTGTGTTCCGTTTTTAGGAATGGTTGTTTCAGAGAGAAAAAGTTTGATGGTGATTATTGCAAACGTATAAGCCCAACAAAGGCATATTGCTATTGTAATTATTGTTCCTACTAGTGTTACCATCTCCGTGATTCTTGTTTTTGCATTTTCAGAAGACAATCAAAAGGAAGTTTTCCGAAGCAGAGAGAGCAAGCCTGCGGACGCTGCGGATGGCAACAGCAGAGCTCAGCGCCTGTTCCCCGGCTCCTCTGAATCTGAAGAAGGAGGTGCTTCGGACCGTGAAGGGGGATCCCTGCTCTACTTGGGGACGGGGAGTCCAGCTGCTAGGGGATGGCACAGGCTTGGGACAGGAGCTGTTGTGCAAACAGTTCAGGCAGTTGCGCTATGAGGAGACCACAGGGCCCCGCGAGGCGCTGCGCCGGCTCCGCGAGCTGTGCCGCCAGTGGCTGCGGCCCGAGACGCACAGCAAGGAGCAGATCCTTGAGCTGCTGGTGCTGGAGCAGTTCCTGACCATCCTGCCCGCAGAGCTCCAGGCCCGGGTGCGGGAGCACCACCCAGAGAGCGGAGAGGAGGTGGTGATGATGCTGGAGGATTTGCAGCCGGAGCTTGGAGACACAGGACAGCAGGTGGTGAGGACCAGATGTGCCCTTTTGCAAGAAAGCAGGGGCTGGAGGCAGGGCGTGAGCTGGGCACCTGGGGGATCTGCTGAGTCCCATTCAGGGTTCGGGTTCTTTCTGGTCCGGCTGCTTGGAGCTGTCGGCTGATCCCGCAGCATCACCTGCTGTTCCCTGGGAGGGACCGGCCATACCCTTTGCCCAGCCTCTTCCTGTCCCCTGAGCTTTCTCCTTCCTCTTCGCACGTGGGAGTGCTTCTCTGAACAGCACTTTCCTCCTCAGCCCACAGGTCCCTAACTGTCCCTGCATGTCCCTAGGACCCAGGCCAGGCAGAGGAGCAGAAGATGTTGGTGGGGGCAGTGGCCGCAGGGGAACCAGTGCGCGGGCAGCAGGCGCCGCCAAAGCGTGAAGTCGCAGAGCCTGAAGACAAGGGTAAGAAGCAGCTGCCTCTCATGTCAGGCAAGAGGTGGGCATCGGCGCCCCCTGGAGGCCCCGCTTTTGTGTTGGTTTTGTACGGTGTCCACACGGTAGCATTCACTGTGAGCGTGCAGCCCGCGAGCCTCCGCAGACAGGAAGACAGTCCGTGATGCAGCCACTGCCGCAGTCAGGACTGGAGGACTGGCGTCCCCCCGCATCCCCCCATCCTTTCCATGGTGTTTCAGCCCGAAACCCGGGGCTCGTCCTGCCCTGCCCTTCTGCTTCCCCTTCCCTCCTTCACCGCAGGGGTGAGTGAAGAAAAGATGGCTGGTTTCTCAACCAGCCATGTGCTCCATTGCTCATTTTTTCTGGTCTTCTTCAAATTACTGTAGGATTATTCCTTTTTTTTTTTATGTTTATTTATTTTTGAGAGAGAGAGCGTGAGCAGGGGAGGGACAGAGACGGAGACAGAGGATTCCAATCAGGTTCTGCACTAAGAGCAGAGAGCCCGATGCAGGGCTTGAACTCACAGACCATGAGATCATGACCTGAGCTGGTGTTGGATGCTTAACCAACTGAGCCACTCAGGTGCCCCGTAGGATTATTACTTTTATCTCTAAATGTCACTTAGGTTAGTTTTTACTGTACTGTCTTTGTCACTGAAATCCCTCTCTTGCTTCTGTCACTTACGTCCCCCCCCCCCATCCAGCCTTATGATCCTACTTCTTGTTACTTTGGTGTCATCTCAGTGCTTCCCCAGGAATCTTCTCTCCTGCTTCTTCTCCATCGTTTACACACAAATTCTTTAGTGCTGTTTCCATCTCTGAAACCCTTCAGTGAGCTAGGTTATGCTGTTCTTTCTGCATAGGTTTTTTTTAACGTTTGAAAAATTCCATAATCAAAAGGGAAAAAATAAAACTATGAAGAAACCCACCATCTGCAGTAACTCCCAGCAGGCAGTGACCGAGGCCTCCCCGGCAGCTGTGTCTGCTGGTTTCTCAGCCTCACGTCCACGAGCTTGACTTTACCAGTTTGCTTGAGACTTTTAGCACTGACGGTTCCATGTCTCGGGAAACCCCTGAGTCCGTCCCCCTGTGGCCCCATCACAGCACGGATCCCCTTCATCCTGATGAATCAGGATGGTCCATCCCCCTGTGGCCCCGTCACAGCGCAGGACCCCATCACGCTGCGCTGCATGCTGTTTCCCACTTGCTCCTTGCTGTTTCTCCCCTCTGAGCCTCTCCTGCCACATTTTTTTCTGTCTGTAGACCTTTGTCCTTGCTTTCCCTAATTTGCACTCATCCTTCAGAGCCCGAGACAGCCCTTCCTCAGCCTTCCTGAAGTCCTCCAGATCTGGGTAACTTTTCTATGGAAAAGGACCTGTGCCCCTAGAGCGCCAAGATTTCTCCCATTCGACCACATCATATTGTTGCTGGTTTATGTCTCTTTTTCTTCTGGCAGAAAAGGATTGAGCTCTGTTTTGTTTCCCAAGTCTGCTGTGGCTCCTGGAATCAAACAGACCCTCAGTGTATGTTTGATGAATGGCTGATTGTGATTCTAAACCTTCCTTTACCTTCTATCCAATTCCCCTGTTCAGCTTCCTTTTTTATTTTTTTAATTTTTAAAAATTTTTTAAAATTTATTTTTGAGAGTGATAGAGACAGTGTGATCAGAGGAGGGTCAGAGAGAGAGGGAGATACAGAATCGGAAGACAGGCTCCAAGCTCTGGGCTAGCTATCAGCACAGAGCCCGACACGGGGAACCCACAAACTGTGAGATCATGACCTGAGCCGAAGTCTGATGCTTAACTGAGCCACCCAGGCACCCCACCCCCCACCCCGTTCAGTTTCTGAATCTGTTCAATGGTCCCCCTAATGGAAACTTGCTGAGCAAAGTAGCTGAAAGAGAGGGGCCTGCCTTTTGTGACCAGCCTCACAGAAATGAATTTAGGCCCTGTCATTTATGATGAGCATGTGTTTTATTTGTTTATTTATTTATTTACCTTTATTTAAACTTTTTTTTATGTCTTTGTTTTATTTTGAGAGACAGAGACAGAGAGCGAGCAGGGGTGGGGCAGAGAGAGAGGGGGAGACACAGAATCTGAAGCAAGCTCCCGGCTCTGAGCAGTCAGCACAGAGCCCGACGTGGGGCTCAAACCCACAGACCATGAGATTATGACCTGAGTCGAAGTCGGATGCTTAGCCAACTGAGCCACCCAGGCGCCCTGATGGACATGTGTTTTAAAATACGACAAGTGTGGGGCGCCTGGGTGGCTCAGTTGGCTAAGCATCCGACTTCGACTCAGGTCATAATCTCATGGTCTGTGGGTTTGAGCCACACGTCGGGCTCTGTGCTGACTGCTCAGAGCCGGGAGCTTGCTTCAGATTCTGTGTCTCCCCCTCTCTCTCTGCCCCACCCCTGCTCGCTCTCTGTCTCTGTCTCTCTTTCAGATATAAATAAAACATTAAAAAAAATTAAAAATAAAAATAAAATATGACAGACGAATGCAGTCACAGTAGATCCTTGACACTGCTCTTATGTCCTCTGGGTCTGTTGAAAATGCTATTTTACACTCAAAGTTCAAGTTGTTTTCTGATTTCGAGGCTACCACCACTTTTTAGTGCTCATGTCAGTATATCGTTGCTAGTAAAGGATTGCGTTAATCTTCCTGTAAACACCCCCTCCCCTGTGGGTGGCCTCAGTCCTGTAAAGGGCCGACACACACAAAGTGCCTTGTTCCGCTGAATCTTCCTGCCCTACGGTCTCTGGTGTTTCCTTACCAATCGTCCACATTACACGGACTCTTGTGTGCTCTCACCTTGCAGTTGACCTGCCACCTTTCTTTCGCCCACACTGATGAACTTGCATTGGCTGGTTATTAGTGCTGCTTAGAACGTCTCCTGCCTTCTCTGTTGTTCAGCTCTGCATCCTCTTTCATGCTTCCTTCCTACTCGCCCACCTGTGCCTGTGTGTCTGAGCTCAGGTGTTATCGGCTGACATTTCTTACGGTCTTTGATGTACGAGAAACATGAGCTAATTATCCCAGCACTGAGGTCCCCTGGCTTGTTGAATCGCACAGGAGGGCAGCTGCTGCTGTTTAAGAGGATCGGGAGAGTCCAAGGCACCGTTGTGAGCTTCATGTCACCCTCAAGGTCTTGCAGTCCAGTGGTTTTGATTCGCTGGGGAGGACACTGAGCCCAGAGGGTTTACATTACCTTTCTAAGATTACACGGCTAAGCAGTGATACAGTGGGTACTGTGTCCACATTTCTTCATTTCCAGTGCTCTTCCTTATTGGCCCCAACGCCTCCTGGCTTTCCCTTTCTTATCGGCCGAAGGCCCTCAGTTGACTTCACTTTTTTAAAAAATTATTTTTCACGTTTATTTATTTTTGAGACACACACACACACAGAGCCGGGGCAGAGAGAGGGAGACACAGAAACTGAAGCAGGCTCCAGGCTCTGAGCTGTCAGCACAGAGCCTGATGCAGGGCTCAAACCCATAAACCGCGTAATTATGACCTGAGCCAAAGTCAGTTGTTTAACCAACTGAGTCACTCAGGTGCCCCAACTTCACTTTTTTGTACTCCAGCTGACAAACCATTTTAAAGAATGTATAGCTAGGCCTTTTAAGACTGTTTCCTTGTTTACTGATTGTGCTGTGTGTATCACATATAAAGTTCAACCCAATGAGGATAAGCTACCTCCTACCACAATCTCCATCCTCCCCTGAGCAGCCACTGTTAACAGTTCCTTGGGTACCATTGTACATATGTTCTGTGCAGACACACAGCCACAACATTTCTGCCAGCACACACGGCTTGATTTAAATTTATTCCTCCTAAGTGCAGGTTCCCTTCCCTAAGCATCAAAAACCAAGTAATATGTGGTATACGTTTAATGTTTCAGGTGAGGAGACCAGGATTGAGAACGGGAAGATGGTTGCAGAGATAGACTCTTGTGGAAGAGTGGGATCATCCGGGAAAGTATCTGAGCCCGTAGCGCCTCGTCATGAGGACCCTCGCTTGGAAAGTCAGCAGGTGAAGCCCAGGGAGAAGCCCGAGTACAAGTGCTCAGAATGTGGGGAGGCCTTCCCCCGGCACCCGGACCTGATCACACACGAAGGCGTGCACGCGCGAGGAAGGCTCTGTGAGTCTGCGGCGTGTCATAGTACCGGTTTCACTGGACGTCAGAAAATCCGTCCTAGAGAGAAAGGTCATCAGTGTCACGAGTGTGGGAAAGCCTTTCAGAGAAGTTCGCACCTTGTCAGACACCAGAAAATCCATCTTGGTGAGAAGCCTTACCAGTGCAGAGAATGTGGGAAGGTCTTCAGCCAGAATGCAGGCCTCTTGGAGCACCTCCGGATCCACACTGGAGAGAAGCCTTACCTGTGCATCCACTGTGGGAAGACCTTCCGACGCAGCTCCCACCTCAACCGGCACCAGAGAATTCACAGTCAGGAGGAGCCCTGTGAGTGCCAGGAGTGTGGCAAGACCTTCAGCCAGGCCCTTCTCCTCACCCACCACCAGAGGACCCACAGCCACTCCGGAAGCCATCGCTGTAACGAGTGTGGGAAAGCCTTCAGTCTGACCTCAGACCTCATCCGACATCACAGGATTCACACCGGGGAGAAGCCGTTCAAGTGTGACATATGCCAGAAAGCCTTCCGCCTCAACTCCCACCTGGCTCAGCACGTGCGGATCCACAATGAAGAAAAACCCTATGAGTGTGATGAATGCGGGGAAGCCTTCAGGCAGCGGTCGGGGCTTTTTCAGCATCAGAGATACCACCACAAAGACAGTGTGGCCTGATGGGGGGTCCTCTCTGCGGGAAACCTCACAGACAGGGTGCTGACCAGCAAACAGCATTTCAGGGACAGTTGCTGCGGCTACTTCTAGCCTCACAGATCTCAGCGGGGTCGCCCACGGGAGGCTGTGCATATCCACTTTTGCTCAGCCTTGGACCACAGTGATAGACGCTAGATGGTACTGTGGGAACAAGAGCATTCTTTACTGCAGGACTTCTCTGGGCCTTTAACATGGTCAGTGCTTGATTGTGCATCTTCAGGTAGTAGAGAGCCTCATGATTGAGTTAGGGCTTTGAGGTCAGCAGCAAGTCAAATATCCACAAATTCATAGGCTTAAACAGAACAAGAGCAGGTTGATAATTTTGCATGTTACAGCAGCAACTCATATAAAATAAAACTAATGACATTTGGAAATATACCACTCTCCAAGGTGTCTTAAAGTACCGGTTTAATAGTGGACATTTTCCCCTGGTGGTTTTACTCACCAGCCCCTACTGGCCCCCCCTCCCCCCACCATCTGCAGAAGCATTTTGGAAAGCAAAGATAATCTGATCTTACGATTTCCCACCCCCATTCTGGCCACAGTACTTCACTGGTTCAGGTTAGAAATCCAGGTTAAACTATGGAAGAGATTTGATAAGTCAAGCGAACGAACAGTGCTGAGTGAGTCCAGGTGGTAAGTGTCTGACTTGATACAAACTCGAGCGTCAGGATAGTGGGTCTTCCATAGACACTGTTCTAGTAAATGGGGAAAGAAATTAGACTTTTTCTTTAATACCAATAATGCAGTTTTTAAATGTTGCTTGTTCTGGAATTCTTTGGAAGTCAAACAGTAAAGTCAGCTGGGAGGAGATCATGATCTTTAGACTGTGAATACCAAAATGTCACGGTAATGATAAGAATCTCCAGCTCAGGAGTCCACTCCTGAGCCATCACCGCTTGCTTCTCGGCAGTAGCTGCTGAGGGTGTCGTGTCTGGGAAAGACTTCCTTGTCTGCACGGGGGTGAGCCCTTGTGTATTTGGAGGGTCTGGTTCAACTGCATATAGTTCAAAAACAAAAAACTATAAGTGGCTTCACAAAAGCTTGTTTTTCTCTCAGAACAGTCTAGAGACAAGCAATCCAGGACTGATAAAGTGGGTCCATGACACCACTAGGGACCCTGTCTCTGCTTATCTGTCCCAACATGCTGGTGCACAACATCAGTCCTTGAGGTGGTCACATGACCCTTGGCGGCTGCCAAAGCTCCAGCCATTGTGTGCAAGACACAGACAGGCAGGACGACAGATGCCGCCCAGTGCAGCCAGCCCTCTGCGAGCAGCCTCCCAAAAGGCACTTCAGTACATATGACGCACGGCAAAACTTATGAAGGGGAGTCTGGAGAGTGCCTTGTTGTGGGTTGCGGGGTGCCCAGCTGAAAATCAGGCTTCTGTCACTGAGAAGGAAGGGGAGCATGAAGGCTGGAACAGGCACTTGGCAGTCTTTGACCCACTTCCTTTCCTCTTGCATCTGGCTGCGTGCAGGCGGGCTGAGTGCAACGGTTAGTACCATGTCCTGGGGGGAGGACAGAGTCTGTAGGAGAAGCAGTGCAACTTTTTAAAAAAATTTATTTGTATTTTGAGAAAGAGAGCATGTGAAGAGGAGGGGCAGAGAGAGAATCCAAAGCAGGCTGCAGGGCTCAAATTCATGAACCATGAGGGGCGCCTGGGTGGCTTAGTTGGTTAAGTGACTGACTTTCGCTTAGGTCATGATCTCACGGTTCGTGGGTTCGAGCCCCGCGTCGGGCTCTGTGCTGACTGCCAGCTCAGAGCCTGGAGCCTGTTTCAGTCTGTGACTTCCTCTCTCTCTGACCCTCCCCTGCTCACGCGGTCTCTCTCTCTGTTGCCTAGAAATTAAAAAAAAAAAAAAAAAATTCATGAACCATGACATCATGACCTGAGCCAAAACCAAGAGTCAGACACTTAACTGAGTGAGTCACCCAGGTGCCCCAGAGCAGTGCAACTTTTTGAGGGACTTTGGTATTTCATGGAAACACAATCGTATTCAATCCTGCAGGAAGTCTTTTATTCTGCCTTTAAGGGTAAAATTAAGTTGACATAAGGGATGTTCCCCCATGTATTTTGAGGGCTCTGCTGAGGTTAGTAGCTAAGCATTCAGCTCCTTGTCCTGGTTTAAGTCTGTTTGATTCTGTTCAGTTTAAGAACAACAGAGAATGTCATTATTCCCATACAAAAGCAGTTACAATGACAAGATCCAAAGTATGAAGAATGGTCTACCCTTAAATATAAGGGAAATTTGTTTCCGAGTTCTTTGTGGTGATTCTATAGTACACATGTTATAAATGTTCTAAATTCACTGGCACCTGAAATGAGCTCATTCCTCTCACAGTCTCAGGAGAAAATGGTGTTCTCATCAGTACCCCAGGGGTGCACGCACCCATAACTGCCCAGACATGAATGGATGAAGATAGATTTAATTTTTTATTTATTTTTCAAATTTGTTTTAGAGAGCAAGCTGGGGAGAGGGGCAGAGGAAGAGAGAGAGAATCCCACACTGAGCGTGGAGCTGGACTGGGGGCTTGATCCCACGGCCTTGGGATCATGACCCAAGCTGAGATCAAGAGTTGGACACTCAAGTGACTGAGCCACCCAGGTGCCCCAATACAGGAATATTTTAATAACACACTTTCCTCATCTATTCCTGAAAATTACAGAAACATTGGGGGCCTGGATAGCTCAGTCAGTTAAGTGTCCAACTTCAGCTCAGGTCATGGTCTCACGTTTCGTGGGTTCGAGCCCCACATTTGGCTCTCTGCTGTCAACATGGAGCCTGTTTGGTATCCTCTGTTCCCCTCTCTGCCCTTCCCTGACTCACATGCACTCTCTCAAAAATAAACATTTAAAAACTAAAAAAATTTAAAGTAAACATTGAACAAAGGGCAAATGTTATAAGGGATATTGACGAAGGTTTTGCTTGCAATGCAAATCTAGATGCGCTTCAAGCAAAGTGGGAAGTCTGTTCAGAGGGCAGGAACCCAGAAAGTATGAGCTGTATTAGAAAGTATCTTCTACTGATCAGCATTTCTCTTGGGATAGTATCCTGTAATGTACAAACAGTAGTGGAATGAGAAGTCCTTGTGTGTCTTCATTTCCTACTCCCTTTCTGGTTTAAAAACTGATAAAGTTATTAATAAGTGAGCTGTTATAAAACTAGCATGAAAAAATAGGAAAGGGAAAAATAAATCACCCTAATTTTCACCTGTCAAAAATAATCAGTTTAGTGTGTATGTATATATATGTATATTCAAATTGCGATTAGTCAGTACTGATATTTTCTGTCCAATTTTATTTTTGTATTTTTTTAAGTTTCTTTATTTTGAGACAGAATCCCAAGCAGGTTCCGTGATGTCACCATGGGGCCCAATGTGGGGCTCAAACTCATCAACCATGAGATCATGACCTGAGCCGAAATCAAGAGTCGGATGCTCAACCTACTGAGCCACCAAGCACCCCTCTGCTCAATTTTTATTTGTCTAAATTTTTTAATGTTTTTATTTTCGAGACAGAAAGAGAAGCAGCATGAGCCGAGGAAGGTCAGAGAGAGAGGGAAACACAGAATCCGAAGCAGGCTCCAGGCTCTTAGCTAGCTGTCAACACAGAGCCCGATGCAGGGCTCAAACCCATCAACTGCAAGGTCATGACCTGAGCCAAAGTCGGACGCTTAACCGACTGAGCCACACAGGTGCCCCTGGTCAATGTTTAACATATCATAATTGTCCCATGTTAATCTTCATAAATTCTCAAGATAGTAATTAACTCATGTTTACTTATGATAGAAATTCATATACATTGTAAAAACTGAAAAATATAAAGAAAACAAATTATCCGGTTTATGGTCCAGATATAATTTCTTAATAATGTATTTTTAGATACTGAAGCATAGAAACACTTTACTTTTCTCACTGGACTTAATATCATGAACAATTTTTATTTGTAAAAGAAAAGGACAGTCAATTTGCATATCTGCCCAGTCCATTCAAGTCTCGATCTGCCACTACCCTGAGTGGGCAGCTTGCCATGTGCGCCTTCTCTGACTGAGGACTGGACGAGAGGGGCCCTGTAAGCCAGGTGTGGCCATTTTGGATACACCTAGAAGTTTGATCAGATTCTGGTTGGTCTCTGTTAGGCATTTGAACAAGAAACGAACCTAGAGCTGGAACCATTTTTATGATCCCATAAAAACCAAATAGAAACAAACCGGTCCAGCAAGAAATAAAGAAGGCAAGTCATGAAACTAGGATCCTATGAAAGCTCAGAGGCTGGAGATGCAGGTCTGGCCCTCAGCTTCTGAGGTCCACTGCTCCCAGCTGGTCCTGGAGTCCAAGAAATACCCTTGTTTCCTTCTGTTAAAGGTTTCGTTTAATTAGTTTGACTGGGTTTCCGAACCTTACTAACAAATGAACAAAAAATCCCTAATTAAGACACAGTTAACTAAAAGTCTTCATGGAAGACTTTTCAGTGACCATCCTTGTACGTACAGCTTTGCTCACCTGTACAATTATTTCCCTTCATTCAATTCCTGTAGCTGGAATTAATGAGACAAAGGGGTAGGCACCTTTTCTCTTCTCTTCCCTTCCCTCCGCATCATCTCTCTTCCTTAAGTAGGCTTCATGCGCAGCACAGAGCCCAATGCAGAGCTTGAAGTCACACCCTCAGATCAAGACCTGAGCTGAGATCAAGAGATGCTTAATCAACTGAGCTCTCCAAGCACCCAGGTAGGCACATTTCGGAAGGCTTTTGATTCATTTGCCAGGTGGCCTCCAGAAAGGCTATACTAATCTATACCTCCTATTAGCAGCTTGTGAAAATGCCCATTTTTTTTCATACGCACATTAACCCTGGGGATTATTTCAATTTGACAATCTGGTGCTTTTTAACGGGTTTTAAACAAATATTTTTGCTGTCAAAGTTGAACATCTTTTTGCATATTAATTGGTCACTTACAATTCTGATTTTGTAAACACCCTCACATTTTCGGGGTTTTTTTTCTATGAGAGTCTTCTTTTACTTTAAACAGCAGTGCCCTTAAAAATTAAACAGGGGACCTGTATATAAAAATTTAAAAGTGCTCTTTTAAGAGGTCAGTTCCAACGTGTAGCATTTAACGTCGAATTATATAAGCATGTAAAGATATTGAATGTTCTCTGCAGCATTACTGTATGTACACACGTACATACATACACATTTATGTGTATACATGTACACATAAAACGGATAGGTGAATTATGGTGCATCCGTACGATGGAATACTAATGAGCTGTTAAAAAATAAACTGGTATGGAAAGATCTCCCACCTATGTTAACAGAGCTAAGGTGCAAAATCCTATTGTGATCCCATAGCTCCATATTCATAAACAAA